CCGCCACCCTCTCGTGTCTGTTTCCCAGCGTACTTTATATCCGCTCTTGCCTCTCGCGTTAATTTTATTTTTTCCCCCCATTTTATCTCTCTCTCTCTCTCTCTCTCTCTCTCACACACGCACACGCACACACACACACACACACACTCTCTCTCTTTCTTTCCCCCGTCCTTCGAACGCGTCCTTTCTCGGTCCTGTGTACGCAACACCGAACACCGCGCCACAACACACACACACACACGAGAATAATTATCGTCCCAAGTCCAATTAAAACGATTTTCCTTTAATTAGTAAATTCATTTATAATTAATAACTGTACAAATTTCAATGTCACCTATATATATATGCAAGTGAATGTGGTCGACGCTCGAGTCCGGCACACGCGTCGATTTCATTCTTCTGTTCTAAAAAGTTCGTTCACCCTCTACTTCGCCACCCTTCTCGCACCTTTTCTCACCTGTTCTCGCTTTTTCCCCCGTTTAGTCTCCTTACAATTTGTCCCGTCTAACGCGTCGTCGTCGCCGTAGTTTCACTCTCTTCGTCTACTGCGTTCTCTCATTTTCTAAAAACCTCGCACCCTTTTCTCCGTTTCCTTTCTCTATTATCGCGTATCCAGAGCTATTTCTCCCTTCTTTTGTACGCGCGTTAAAAACCGATCGTTTCGATCACATCACCCCCCATTCGCCGCGCTCACCTGCTATCTCTCTCTCTCTCTCTCACGTCGGTTTTCTTCAACGCCACCCAATGCGCGAACTAAAAATTCCTTTTTTCATCTATTTATATTTATTTATATACCCGTATATATCTATACACATGGATGCGTCTCTGCGTGCGCGTGTGTGTATATATATATACATACATACTTTTGCTCGATCATCAATTTTTTTTAAATTCACCGGTGTACCTTTCGCACACCTTCCGTAGAATAACTCTCTCTCTCTTTCACGTCTCGTCGCCCGCTCGTGCACAAGGAGAGACGTCTATCTAATATATAAACGGATCCGTGCGAGCACCGGGTTGACCCACTCTCTCACTCTCTCTCTCTCTCTCACACACCTCCCACCCTCGTTTCTTCCACTTTCTTAGTTTTCTTATCTCTCGATTCTCCCTCTTCCTCCTCTCGCGATTTTTCTTTGCTTTTTTTTTTTGTTTGTTTCTTTTTAATGTACACATGCCCGCTAGAAATTGCCTATATCACTCTGTGTTTGCCGAGGTAAACGCGCCCTCGTCGGTTTGATCTCCCCCTTATCCACGTTTCCTCTCTTCCTATATAATAGTTAATTAATAATAGCTCGATCGCGACCGTATTAAAATTTAACATTTAAATTCTTCGATCACTACAATATTACACCGCGACATTTGTACACAGAACAATCACATGAATTTCCCTCTCGCGGCTCTCTCTCTCTCTCTCTCTATCTCTCTCTCTATCTCTCTCTCTCTCTCCGTCCCTCGTGTTCCGCCAAGCCGCACTCTTTTTCTTTTATTCTTCACCCCCGAATCATCCTTCCTTCCTCTTCCGTTACCCCCGTGGTTTTTCTTCTTCTTGCATCCGGTTTCACGCGTTCCACGCCTCTGTCGGTCCACCGTCGACGTTTAACACCCGCCAATCGCTTCCTCACATCGTCCTACCTTCGACTAAAACGCGTCGTCGTCGTCGTCGTCGTCGTTTTCTTCTTCTTCTCCGTCGTCCCGTTCGACACAACCCCTTCCTTACGAGCCAAAAAACCGGACCGACGGCCGCTATTCCGCAGAGACCGTCCGCACAACCGTGTGCTCCTGGCTCGAGCAACCGGCATTACGAGCCTCGACGTACGACGCCCGGCGAGAAATCTCTTTCCGCTTCCGCGTCGATCACGCCCCGGAGGCGACGAATCGCTCCTCGTTGCCCCCGTGCACCTTGCTCTACGCCAACCGGAGCACGCTGCTTCCGTCACGCTGATACGTTTCCCGTTCCGCAAGAACCGTCATTCCACCGTCTACCTTGACTTGCGACTACTGCTGGAACACGTGACAGATCGGCTGGAATTAATGCCAACGTTCCTTCCTTCGTTCGTTTCGTCTTTGTTAACCGGTGCTTCGAGAACGATGGAAAGAAGCGCGAAGAAGTTTCGTGGCTGTACGTTCGACTGCGGATGTTCTTGCAAACGTGTGTCTTTGAATGTGATTGGTAATAAAGGGGGTAATAGAAATTTCTTTTGTGTGTTTTATACAGAAAATTATTTATCCAACTGTTGAATAAATTTATTGTTTATTGTAATTCAAACTGTAATCGTAATGTCTGAACAATATAGGTTCCATTATTATGGCATACTTTTTTTGCATGTCCCGCTACATTTCATTTGCATAAACATTCGCAGTCTACTTGTACGGGCTGGAGATACGGAGATAGCCTATTCCAAGCAAAAATATCATCTGCATATTGATTTATAAATGGATGAAAATTTTCAAACAATCTGATTATCAAAATAAATCCTATTCAATTTTTATAATTCGTTTCAACGATAATTAATTTAGCGAACGTACAAACTACTAAATCTCGCAAGAGCTAACAAAGTTAATCTGTATCGTACTAATTGTAACAATTCTTTGACAAACGGAAGAATCCGAGAAAATTTCATAAAATAATTGGAAAGATCTCCAAAGAAACTCTACCCAATAATTTCTCTCACCAGTCCCATCCTCTATAATTCCCAACTAGCACCGTTACACGCGGAAGTCTCGAACCGCAAACAACAGCAATCTAAATCCTACACAGATCTACAATTTGTTCATGCTTCCTGCGTATCAAAGAAACGTCCACCGTAACAGACCCTATGCAAAAGTGGCGTTCCATGTTCGACGAAATCCCCCGGACCACTTTTCATCAACGTCCACCAATTTAACCTTCCGTTCGATCTTCGTACCCAGCCATCAATCTTTCCATCGTCATCGAGCGCGTCACACCGTTCTCGATTATCAAATCGACGAAACCGGTCGATGTCGCGTGGACAACAACCGAGCTACTTTCCCACGTACCTTTATAAGTGATGTCCATAGTACTCTGGCGGGTAATGGTACTGATTGTGGAAGGCGGGATCACCGGGCGGCCGGTGCATCATGCTCGCCGCCTGTCCGTCCATCATGTAGCCCATCGTCGCGTCCGGACTGTACGCCCCGCTTGGACCTGCAGACAATGGCGGAAACACTACACGTTACTACGGTTAGATCACTGTCCTGTAATTGGCGGGTGGCTATTGGAAAAGCTCGTTGGCCCTGAGAATGTTGTCCAGTTCTTTCGCCTCGTTTCTTTTTCGAAGGAACTTCAACGACATTTGTATAGTAGACCTTAGGGAAGATGTTTTCGTAGATTAACACGTTCGCCACCGCTATCCTACGGATTATTTCGAGGTGCATTCTTAATATCTGTATTTTTTTTTCCAGTTTTCCGTAATAGGATAGATGACTGAATGACAGATGATTAAATACTCAAACTATCGTGGGAAATGGTGCGTCAGAGATGTGCGACGCTGGTAGCGAACGTGTTTAGGTTAACCCTTTCGGTGCTAAGATGCGGCTTACTTGGAATAAAACGCGTGGTGAATAATTTTTCACGCTTCTGGATACTTTTGGGATAATTTTTCACACTTTTAGATACTTTTGGGATAATTTTCCACAGTTTTGAAGTTTCATATGACTTCGTCGACTCTAGGACAAAATATATCGTGCAGTGCACTTTAAATTTCCATTAGTGTGAAAAGATAGCAGGGAAGGCAAGGTCTAGTGTACTTGAGAACGGGAACCAACGAGCTGTGTATTGTGTTTAATCGATGTCACATTCCTATATTACATTTAAACAAAGAATTTCCTCTTTTCGAAACTCGCAAGATTCCTTCTGCACAGGTAACACATAAAACATTAACAAATCTTCGTGGCATCGACTAAATTGACGCGTTCATGTCACCTTCAGCACTCTAATCACACAAAATCCCATAAATGTTAAAAATAATTTCAACGTGAACCTAGCAATTCACCAAAGACGAAGCATCTCAACGAAGATTCAATCTTCCTCGGTTCCTACAGAATTCTGGCGAACGTGACGACAGCTCGCCTCTCTTTTGGTAAGCGGTAATGGAGCCAGGAATCCACAGGAGGCTCCCCTAGTTTTAATGCCGGTATCTTAATGTATATTGCCGCGATAAATCAAGGCCACTGATTGCGTCCTACCCTCCGGCACCAATACGCAGGACAAACGAAAGCAGAGAGAGAGAGAGAGAGAGACAAAATCATGTGGAAATCTCGGAGCAGAGAGGAGCTGCTTCTTCAACCATTGTCGAAGCACTCTTCTAAACCTTTCTTATGCTAAATCTCGCCGGACTATCTTGCTCTCTCGAGGAACGATATTGCCCGCGCATGCTCGTTTATTGCCTGTCGAATACGAGCTCGTTTCGCGCGTTCCTTTCTGAGGCTGTTGCGCCAACCTCTTGGTTTCCTTGGTAAAACGGTCTCGCGAATGTGAGTAATTGTTCCGTGCACTGATAAATAGCAGTGGGTGTACGGACGGGAACGTTGGGGTGCCCGGCTGCCTTCGAGATTGCGATAATTCGGACGGATAGTTGTGTGAGCAGGTAATTTCGAGTGCTCGTGATTTATTTCCTCCCCGGCGAACAATTATTTCATTTATGCCGATGAATATTATTGCACGAGTGCTCGAGGAGAGTTTGAAAATTTACGACGATCAAAACTGCCGGCATTTTGTAATTCTACTGAACCGTTTGTTGTATGTACATTGTAAGCGATCGTTCTTCCAACGATCCCTCCCGTAACGCGCATTAAGTCGTACAACTTCGATATTAATTTCGCGAAACGTACGCGTGGAATAATATTTCCATTATTTTTCACGATCGTTACACGTTCCATGATTTTTACCGAGCGCTTTTCTGTGCTCGAGTAGCGTGAGTAATCTTTCGAACATAAATTCGTTTAAACGACAATTTGCTACCAACAAACTTCTCGTTCGATCATCGATCAGAACGGGCGGATTTTTTTTCGTCGGTTCTCGTTTCTATCGCGGTGGGATAGAAGAATTTTGCAACGTGACGCGTTTCAGACAAACATAGCCGAGGTTTGGCAGAGGAGAGACTGTACAGTAAATCACAATTATTGCGAACGTTCCTCGCCTTCCGCCCTTTATCCGTTCCCGAGAGCTCTGCCGTTTCCTTCGACGCGTGTTTTTCTGCCGCGAATTCCACAGACCGGTGAATTTTTTCGCTCTCCCCCGCGGAGGAACTCGAGGAATTGCGGATTGACGAGGGGAAGCGTAGACGGTGGCATGCAAATAATTTTTAAGCGATTCTTGCCGTGATTCTGCCTCGGCCGCGCTGTTTCGTCGCGTACACTGCTTCACTACCGATCCAAAACTCGGGAAAAAGTGTGTGAAAAAGTCTCGTAACGTTTCACAATTCCCAAAATTCCAAATGAGAACTCAAGAAAATGTGTGTAAAAAAGTCTCGCAAATTACAAACCTCCAATATTGCAATAAGAACAATTTTCTTCTATTCAAACTCCAAATCTCACTCGACTCCTTCTCTCAAGACTCGGGGAAAAATTAAAAAATCGACTTCATTCCCAAATTTCCAGCACTAAAACGGCAAAAATTTGCTTTCTCGTTTCAAGCGAAGATCCTACTCGACCCCTTCACTCCACTAAAATTCCAGAATCTCGAAAGGCACAGTCGACAGAACGTAACAACTAACGGCAGAAGAAAGATCGTAGTTCCACCGACGAAACTCGAGTTTCATCGTCGGAAAAGAATCGCACGACTCGTACAGCTCTCTCTAACTCGCTCCTAACGAGCCTCGACGTGCGCGTAACTTTCGACTCGCGGACGATTTCGCGAGGAATAATCGAGAAGCTCCTCTCTCCGTCTTTTTCCCTCGGCAGATTTAACGACGCAGTTTGCACGTACAGAAAGGGACGAGAGGCTCGTGGTACAGTGGCACCGTGAAGGCTCGTCTCTTCTCCTCGTTCCGCGATTTCTTCGAACGCCTCCCGCGCGGCCGATTCCTTAATTTCCCATATTGTGGGCCGGTCCTGCACGTCCCGAGGCGTCCCGCTGCGTTATAGCGCGGTTTAATCACACTACAAGCGCGCGTCCCTCGTTAGTGGGATATCGTGGCGGCTATAACGCCAGGCTACATTCCACCGCGGCTCTCCATCGCCCGCGAGAGCACCAAGAATCGTCCCGAGACCCTCCGTTTTATTGGATTCACGATAATCGTTCGGGCTCCCTGTGATTGGTGGAAAACGGCTCTGCCGATCTTTTTCGCTGCAGGATCGTCGTTCTCGCGGTGAAGCGGAATCGAACGTTCGTCCTTTCGTGTTCTCCATAACGGCGAAACTTCGTTTTTCGCGCTGCTTTTTTGTGGTCGTTGTACCGCGGAGTAGATGAGGTGTAAGAGGTTGTAAAACGATTAGAGTACCAGTGTTTTTGATCATAGCTGCGCGATTAGTCAGGTTCCGCTGGGAAGATTGTTGCTGAGGGAGCTGGTAATGACTTCATGAGAGAAAATGATTCCGTTGTGTCGGGGAAAGATTGTCGAATTGCGTGAAAGAATTTAGATGTTCGAGGAAATACAGCTTCGGTGTGAAGAACATATAAAATTAGGAAATTTTGATCGAATTTCATAAACGTGACAAACCTCAAAAGTACAATTAATACAGCGAAAGTTTCAGAAAGGTGGAGGAACAATTAAGCAAAATGAAAATTTTGATAATAAAAAGAAATACCTTCAATTTCCTAAAAATAAGAAATCTGACGAATTCGTCGAAATTTCTGAACTCGAGAAAGGTGTAAGAACCGTGAAACAACACCAAAAAAACGACAGAACACAGTGAAAACTTAGACAACGATTAGAAAAACAAGCATTTAGATTGGACGACGATAATCTCCGAACTAGCCATTAATTCTCCGCAACGCTGAAAAAACCAGGCCAGAAACACGTGTACCGATGCACGGCAACATCATTTCGAACAGCACCGTAAAGCACAATTACAATTTCTTACGACGTCCTTCTAAATCCTCGACAATTCTCATTCGCGAGCACCCAATAACTAACTTACTCCCATCGCTACCGGTCCTCCTATCGGTACTCCGAACGATTAAGCCTACACGAGCATGTCTCTCTGCCAGCTATCGACCGCTATCGAACGCAAGAACAAAAGGATCGATGGTATCTTTTCTCTCTCCGGGTCGTCAGATTCTTATCGATGGGGGCCTCGAACGATTCGCCATCGAGCACGGTCCGTTGGCAAAAAGCCCGTAGCCAGAGAGCCGAACCACGCTCGTTCCTCTCATCGCGCTTTAATAAACGAAGACGAACTATCGGGAGATATGATCGCCGCCTTAATGGCACTTCTTACGGCGCCTTTGAGTCTCGTGGAGATAGCACTTCAGAGTCGTACAGGGAGTTCGTTAGCCGGGTCCCTCCGTCACACACAGAGAAAGATTCGCGTTACTTTTCCTCAGGGTCGAGTCGAAGGGGCTGCTTAGAATCGCGCTGGCAAACGAGTAGTCGAGAGAAAAACTTTGATGTAACGCAATAAACTGCGAGTGTTCCATCTAGAGCGATAGTTGCGTGGGACAGAGGATGCGTGACTATCTGGAGATTTCAATAGACCTGACTGAATTTCGGTTAATTCTCCAACTGTGTATGGCTCACGCATAGCAGACGTCGGGTCAAATATGACCCGAAAATTACTTGAGAATTTGTGTACTAAAATTCTTTTCGTACGCAAGCGAAACCACATTTTCTATTTCACTAGGCATTATGTTATACTGTGATTGAAATAGCAAACATAGGGGAGGAGAGTGAAACGAGTGAAATCTAACAGCTGGGTCAACAGTGACCCGGCGGCCGCCATCTAAAGGATAAGAATGCCTATCTTCTAAAGGACTAGAAATTTTCACAAAACCGTGTCTCGAAGTGTGTTACCAGCGAGTGTAAATCTGCGAAGCTGTTTGGTTCTTCGCTCAGGACCCCTCTTCGAGACCCACTGCATCGAAACTACCACGTGGAGGCTGGCCGTTCATTTCGTAGCAACTCCTGGAGGAGGAGGTTAATTGCAGACGCGGCAACTAGCGGGAAAGTATGTCAAAGATGCACCGGGGAGCAGTTTCGAGATTTCGTTCAAGGGGATCGAGAGGAT